GATAGATAGATAGATAGATAGATAGATAGATAGATAGATAGATAGATAGATAGATAGATAGATAGATTGATTGATTGATTTAAAACGTGCACTTTCATTTCAGCCTAAGGACACAGATATCAGGAGAAATCCATAGGAGGACGTTGGCAGTTTCAGCAGGGGGCGTCATTCTGCAGTTGCTGCACATTGGAATTCTGCACATCTGTGCACTAAGCCAGCAGGTTTGGAGGGAATTTGAATATTTCCATACAAATGGATAATCAAAGTACCATCATAAAAATAAGAAAAACAAACTATGAGATCAATTTTCCCCAAAGGATGCATGTCTGTTTTGTTGACCCTGCTTTGCTGCACAAACTATTCTAACATATTCCCCTCACTATCAGATACAGCACAGGTTTGCGATTATAAAGATGAACAAAACAAACACGAGCTGGAAATTTGGTCTGATCATAATAGCTATATTATGGGGTACTTTGATCACAACTAAAGGCAAATTTCATGATTTCATGGAATTCTGAGTGAATGAAAAGAGAAAATAACAGTCTTCTAACCATACACGTTGCCTGCAGTTCACCACTGCTGAGAAAGTATAGAAATCCTATCTTCTGCTCATTATATTAAAAACTCAGGGTCCAATTTTTATAAATAGCAGAGGTATCAAATACTTCAAAAATAATATCAGACTATATCAATTCCACAAGAGTGGAGCTGAACTGTTTCAGCAGCAGGACAGAGTAAAGAGTACATCTCTATGAAGATAATAATAATAAAAAAAAAAACCAAAAAAGGACACACAGGGGAAGTAAAAAAAAATGCTATTGTCTAAAACAAAGTTACACAGATGTACCCCCTGTATGCACAAGTTACCTCGCTTAACCTCCTTAATAACATGGATCAGCTTTCCTTAGTGGTCACATGTGAAACAATGTGCACTGCCATGTTCCAATTAGTGACTCAGGCTCATGTGAGTTTAGAGGAACCATGGATGCTAAAACTTCCCAGATGCTTTATACTGCTTTTACCTCTTTCAACAGACTGACTATGACACTTTCCATTTCCAAGTGACCTCTGCAGTTTAAGTGCTGTATCATAAGAGGATGTCATCATCATCCCAAGAACACTGTTGCTTATTGTCCAAGTTCCTGACTTTAAGAAAAAAAGAGGATCCTAAATGTAAAAAAATATATTTTTCCCCATTTGTGGGTGTTAGCTAATGAGGCTGACTTTCAAAGTGAACTCTAGGCCTGAACATGCAATTGTATGGAAAACAAAAAATATGTACTTTTAGTTTCTCAAAGGATTTGGGGTTTCATTTAAAAAAATGAACATCTGTGGAAAGAATGCTTTTTTTCATTTATGTATTTCTTTTTTTCTTCTTTTTTTAAATCTGGATGGGAATCACTTAAAATTACTGTGGAATGTAATAGCTGCGTAAAAAGTTTGGGTAAGAGGTTAACCTATACCTATCATCAGCAGAAATGGCATTAGGTATTTTAATTATTGGTTCTAACAAGTTATGTGTTTTAGGGTGGTCTAATATTATAAATAAAATGTCACTGATTTCTTGAATCAAGCTATTGGGTGGTGGACCACCCTCCTCTGGGTCAAAGGTTAGTCAAGGTGAGGAATTTAAGTGTCTTGATGTTTTGTTTACCAATGATGGAAGATGGTGGTGGATGTACAAACTGAGGCTTCATCTAGACAATGCAACCTTACAATCCAGACAGAATAAATACCATTTGCAATCTGCATAGAACACATTTGCTCCTACTGCCTTGTGTAAAGTATTTTATCTTTCTTATGGCCCCTCCAGAGCCCCATGCTCTCAGAAATCATAAATTCCATTCATATTTTGTTTTCTTCCAGACTCAAGTTAAAACATCATTTACACTTCATCATAAGCATTTAGTTCACCAGCTTCTAGAGGCCATAGTTAGGCTGTTTTATTAATTTTAAAACAAGTTATGAGGTTGTCTGAGGTTTTGCAGCAAACCCTGGCAAGCTCTTTAGGAAATTAGCTAAATAGGTTATTTTCTATTTTCTTTATGGTATAATTTTTTCCAGGCATATATTTGGCTGTTACATGGATTACAAAATAAAAAATTAAATTAATCTGTCATGATCTGCCCTTATAGCTGCCGTTAATTGTTCATGTAATTCACCTGCTTAATCCTGCCAGGCTCCTAATTATCACTCATCTAATCCACCTGCTGGTTCTGCTTTATATTCGGCTCAGGTCATTCTGTTTGTCTCATGCCTGCATGTTTCATTAGTTTTAGTTAGTTCCAAGGTTTGTGTCATTGTTCTTGGCAGCCAGTGGATTTAGAGGGTTTTAGTGTTTGTCCTGTCTATTGATCGTGTCCTGGTCCTTCTCCATAAAGCCCTCAGGGTTTTACCTCGGAATGTGAAGGGTCAGTTTTATTCCCGTAAGCATAGCTCCTGAGAGGAGAATGGTTTAAAGTCCTGCAGAAATCCTGATACGCTCTGTGGATTCCTGGAACCCTATTTCCATCTGTCCCTGTGTGGATTGGAACCCTGCTTGAGCTAAGGACTCCTGGATATCAGAACTGTCCTTGTTCTGGATGGTTTTCCTGACCTGGCTTGAGCTTCCGCCGATTCCACGGAGGCTGCTGCATTGGGAACACTCTGGGTGGCTCTGTGCTGTATCTAGTTGGCTATCCATTGGGTGGATCCTGCCCCGCTCTAAGGAGATGAACTGTTAACCCAGGTAAATGACTCACACAGATTATCATCTTCAGTCAGATGATCATGGTCACTTACCTGTGTTTCTCCCTCCAGAGGGTGTCAATGATCGGTTGCACCCTGCCCCTGCAGGCGCTGGCGGTCCACAGCTCCACAGTTACGTGCTTTTGTTCTGTTTCAGTTTGTTTGTTTTAATAAACCTTTTTTACTTTCCTACTGACTGTCTAATCTTGAATACTGGGTCCATCTGTCCCATTTATGACATAATCGGGTCAAGCCTTTACTGTATGGGGTCAAAGAAGACACCATAATCATTATACCATAATTATTATACCTGTTGCACAAAAATGTTTGCTTACGAGAGAACAAATACTATATACCTATTGCGCGGACATCTATTGTGATGAAGTGTTTATAAAAACTTGTGATAAATTATGTAAGATCAGATGTGGGTCCATAACTAGATCCTTACCAATTTGCTTTGCATCTAGTGGCTAAACATCTAGAAAACCACAAGGCTTATGCTAGACTCTCTTTAAAACTCTGCAGCCTCATTGTCCTCTGTCTACAATGGGAAAAACAGGGTGAAAATAACTTTATGTGATCTTCTTAACATCTGTATTGGTGCCCCCCAGGGGTGTGTCAGTTCACCTGTTCTGTTCACCTTATCTACCAATTACTGCAGTCGTAATATACTAAACAACTTTGTGTCCAAATTTTCAGATGACTTGACTATTATCTGCCTCATTTCAGGCACATCAGAGCTAATCAGTAGCAAACAGCATAAAAAAACCTTCCAGTAGGGTGAGAAACACTTTCAAAAACACAAGAACTGATCTTTGACCTGAGGGCAGTTGGAGACAACTCTCCAGAGGTCATCCATAATCAATTAATTGCACAGATAGATTCCCACAAATATCTCATATTACAAATTGACAACAAATTATTGTAGATTGCTCAGGTTGATTATGTCTGCAACAGGGTCCAGCAGCGGCTACATTTTGTGTGCAGGTCGAGGGCCTTTGGTGTCAGTCAGAAAGTCAGGCTGTTCTTTTACCGTGCTGTAATAGAGAGCAGAATTAGGTGCAGCATTTTTGCCTGGTTTGGTAACCATCCATCCATCTTCTCCTGCTTAGTCCTTGTCAGGGTCATGCTGGGGCCAGTGCCTCACTGCCTATCTCCAGCAGGCTCTTTGCAGCCAGTTTGGTAACCCGTCTGTCCAAATGAAGGCCAAACTTACTCTCCTTACTCAATGAGCTATGAAGTTGATGGGAGTCGAGCAGCATCCCTCACTTCAGACCATCTTCAGTGAAACAATAACCAGACAGGGCCAGAAAATCATCTCAGACCCCAACGAT